GATTCTCAGAGATTTCGAGTTATCCCGATCCGATTTTGTCCCGATCTTCGCGTCGTTTTACTACAGGAGGGGGACACGCCCGACTTAACTCTATGCACCAACGCTTTCTCCGGCCCCGCACTGCAGCTCGCACAGGAAAACGGATCCTGGTGTATACCAGATCCTGGCGTATGCATGCTTAGCCGTCTCCCCGGGAAAACAGGGAAAACAGTATACACCACACCACCCCGACGTCGTCCCCGACCCTCGAAAAAGTCATGGGATTGGAAAACAGCCCGCCACTGGTAATGCATATGTTACAGTTTCCGATGTTCTGGAGCGCCCCAGTTATCGACCCCCCAGTACAGTCACCCCGTATGACAAGGATGCGCGGTCAGGATGCAAGGGCCCGGGACGGCCATGCCGACACTTTGCGAGCGGTGCGCGGCCAGCGAAAGCGGCCAAGGGTGGGCCGAAGGGGAAGGATGCGAGGACAGCCCTGGAAAGCTGCTCACCCTCACTGTGTGGGTTGCCTGTGCGACTTGCCCCGAGCAGCGCGGCTCTCGTGAGGGGCCGAGGCAGGGAGCCAAACTCTGTACACCGACGCTTCCTGACGGCCCCGCACTGAAATGTGCCCCAGAAAACGGATCCTAGTGTATACTGACTACCTACCAGACCACCCCAACCCAACCCGAAGACCCGAATTTCGGGTTGGGGGGGTTAAGAGTTCCACATGTGTTTTTTCGATGTTTCCCGACCCCCCCCCACCTGGAAATCGAGGCTAAATCTGAGCCTTCGGGTTGGGTTGGGGTGGTTTGGTGGGTGGTGATATACGGGACTCTGGTGTAGACATTTTGCGTTGTTTCCTCGGGAAGTGGATCAACAAAAATTAGCCTGGCGAAGAACCCAACCATATGCAGTTGTCAGTACCGCAGCTGCGGGTTTCATCTTCAAAGGAACTCCCCATAGGACCACGGAACGTGTGAGGGGTGTGCCGAGATGGGTGCCACTAGGGCATTCGGTGAAGCTCCCTATGGGGACATGAAACACGCGCGGGGCGTGCCGACATGGGTGGCGGAAACGCATGTGAGGGCCGCCACTGGGGCCTCCAAGGGAGCTCCCTATGGGTTCCCGAAACATGATGCTGCTGCGGGGGGGGTGCCGGGATGGGTGGCGGAGACGCATGTAAGCGCCGCTACTGGGGCCTTCGGTGGAGCTCCCTATGGAGCCACGAAGCGCGTGAGGGGTGTACTGTGAGCGCCGCCACTGGGGCCTTCGGTGCAGCTCCCTACGAAGCCACGAAACGTGTGAGGGGTGTGCCGAATTGGGTGCGGGTGGTGACGCATGCGGGCGGTGCCACTGGGGCCTTCGGTGGAGCTCCCTATGGGGCCACGAAACCTGTTGTTGTGAGGAACGTGCCGGGATGGGTGGCGGGGACGCATGTGAGCGCGGACGCTGGGGCCTTCGGTGGAGCTCCCTATGGGGCCACGAAGCGTGTGAGGGGTGTGCCGAATTGGGTGTGCGGGACGCATGCGGGCGGCAGCCCTGGGGCCTTCGGTGGAGCTCCCTATGGGGCCACGAAACGTGTGAGGGGTGTGCCGAATTGGGTGTGCGTGACGCATGCGGGCGGCAGCGCTGGGGCCTTCGGTGGAGCTCCCGATGGGGCCACGAAGCGTGTGAGGGGTGTGCCGAATTGGGTGTGCGTGACGCATGCAGGCGGCAGCGCTGGGGCCTTCGGTAGAGCTTCCTATGGGGCCACGAAACGTGTGAGGGGTGTGCCGAATTGGGTGTGCGTGACGCATGCGGGCGGCAGCGCTGGGGCCTTCGGCGGAGCTCCCTATGGGGCCACGAAGCGTGTGAGGGGTGTGCCGAATTGAGTGTGCGGGACGCATGCGGCGGCAGCACTGGGGCCTTCGGCGGAGCTCCCTATGGGGCCACGAAACGTGTGAGGGGTGTGCCGAAAGGATGGGTGGGTGGGACGAATTGCGGGGCCCCAGCACTCGGGGCCTTCGGCGGAGCTCCCTATGGGGGCACGAAAACGTGTGAGGGGTGTGCCGAATTAGGTGTGCGTGACGCATGCGGGCGGCAGCACTGGGGCCTTCGATGGAGCTCCTTATGGGGCCACGAAACGTGTGAGGGGTGTGCCGAATGGGTGTGCGTGACGCATGCGGGCGGCAGCATTGGGGCCTTCGGTGGAGCTCCCTATGGGGCCACGAAACGTGTGAGGGGTGTGCCGAATTGGGTGTGCGGGACGCATGCGGTCGGCAGCACTGGGGCCTTCGGCGGAGCTCCCTATGGGGCCACGAAACGTGTGAGGGGTGTGCCGAATTTGGTGTGCGTGACGCATGCGGGCGGCAGCGCTGGAGGGGCCTTCGGACGGAGCTCCCTTGGGGCACGAAAACGTTGTGAGGGGTGTGCCGAATTGGGGTGCGTGACGCATGCGGGCGGCAGCGCTGGGGGCCTTCGGCGGATGATCCCTATGGGGCCCACGAAAAGTGTGAGGGTGCCCTTGTGCGAATTGGGTGTGCGATGGGTGTGCGGGACGGCAGCACTGGGGGCCATTCGCGAGCTTCCTAGGGGCCACGAAAAAGTATGTGCGTGAGGTTTTTGACGAATTGGGTGTGCGTGACGCATGCGGCGGCGGCACTGGGGCCTTCGGCGGAGCCCCCTATGGGGCCACGAAACGTGTGAGGGGTGTGCCGAATTGGGTGTGCGTGACGCATGCGGGCGGCAGCACTGGGGCTTTCGGCGGAGCTTCCTATGGGGCCACGAAACGTGTGCGGGGTGTGCCGAATTGGGCGTGCGTGCCGCATGCGGGCGGCAGCACTGGGGCCTTCGGCGGAGCTCCCTATGGGGCCACGAAACGTGTGCGGGGTGTGCCGAATTGGGTGTGCGTGACGCATGCGGGCGGCAGCAAGGAGGAGGGGGAGGAAGGAAGGAAGGAAGGAAGGAAGGAGAACGCGGGGCACCGTCTCTTCAAAACGAGGACCCAACACCACAGGATGGTTGGGAAAAACGCACACCACACAAACAACCCCGACGTCGTCCCCGACCATCAACAAAAACACCCTGGGAGTGAGAAGCAGGCCGCCAAGGGCGGTGTATGTGCTCCACTTTCCGACGAGGGGCGGCGTGCGATTGGCAGTCTCCAGACGTGACGGTGACAACACCCGGCGGTGAGTCTCGGGCGATTTGGTGTCACCACCCGGTTCGGGGACTCGTGTGGTTTTTCGAAGGCGTCCCGAACGCTGGTGGGTCCACCCGGCGAATGCCCCGTGTCCCCAAACCCGGCGGTGACTTGTCGGGGATTCCAGGTCGCCACCTGATATCTCACCACCTGGTTTATGCACGGTTTCCCCCAGGGCCGTAGGCGACCCGAGGAGGAGGAGGAGGAGGAGGAGGAGGAGGAGGAGGAGGAGGACCACTGTAAGCCCAAGGGTCACCAATGTTCTTGGAATGAAACCTCCCCCCAAGCTCCCTCTACATAGGCCCCTACAACGGTTCATGTCCACAGAGGGACCTGCCTCGTTGGAAAACAACAGTTTGAATACCCTGAAGCATGCCAAAACATCATTCTCGGTATTCAAACGCCACTGGTGAACCTGACTGTTGCGTCTTGACGATCCTGAATCGTGCCAGAACGGCATTCCTGGGACCTCAACTCCACGAATCATCATAACTGCTGCGCCCTCGAAATCGTGAATCCGTCCAAAATACAATATCTGGTACGTCGAACATAGGAACATCTTACATCTGTTTCGCAAGAGTGTGCGCGGCGCTAAAGAAATAACCATATTTTGAAAAGGTGCCGCCCTCAATCCGTGAAGCCCGTGCATTTTTGGAAAACGAATGTGCGCGGCGCCGAGGCGAGAGCCACTTTTTGAAAAACGTCCCGCCCTCAATCCGTGAGCCTCTTGCAAATATTGAAAACGAATGCGCGCGGCGCTAAGGCGAGAACCGCATTCTGAAAACGGCCCGCCCTCAATCCGTGAAACTTTTGCACATTTTGAGAACGACTTTGTGCGGCGCTAAGGCGAGAGTCACATTTTGAAAACTACCCGCCCTCCATATATGAAGCTGTTGTCAATGTTTAAGCTTCAGGGTCACACATGGTGAATATGTCTTAGGCGAAACGCCAGGCCCGCCGTAAAAAAATGCCTCGGGGTGCGACAGGGAGACGTTAGTTAGAATGAGAAAGAACGGAGGAGAAGGTGGAAAAGGGGGAGGGGGAGGAGGAGATGGAGGAGAAAATGGAGGAGGAGGAGGGAGGAGGAGGATGGAGGAGGAGGAGGAGGAGGAGGAGGAGGAGGAAGGAGGAGGAGGAGGAGGAGGGAGAGGAGGAGGAGGAGGAGGGGAGGAAGGAGGAGGGAGGAGATGGATGGAGAGGCGGAAAGGAAAATGGCAGGAGGTAGGAGGGAGGAGGGAGAACGGAGGAGGAGGAGGAGGAGGACGAGGAGGAGGAGGAGGGGGAGCGGGAGGAGGAGGAGGAGGAGGAGGAGGAGGAGGAGGAGGAGGAGGAGGAGGACGGGTCGCCTAAGCTCTTCGGAGAAACCCTCCACTGGTTTCGGGGGCGCGCACACATGGCTTAGCGATCCATGGATGAGGCGCGCGGTCGCCACATCCATGGATCGGGGGAGATGCCCTCCCCAACATGCGGCCGGTGCCGCCTCGCTCGGCGGCGGCAATCAGCGATCTCCCATGGAAGCGGGACCCGTCGCTGATCCGCGCACCCTTTATCCATGTTCGCGATCGCCTCACTGGCCATCGCTCGGACGTCCATTCCCTGTGTCTCTTTTTGTTCGGCTTCGTGCGTGGCTTCTTCGCGACATGATCCAGGATGCTCCTCGATGGCCCTCGCCGAAGGAACAACGCACACGTCCGAGCGATCATGGTCCGGGGGCCCCCACGGCCTCCCCCGCGGGGGGTCTCTCGAGCGGCCTCCCCCGCGGGGGGTCTCTCCTGCGGAGCGGCCCCCGGGGCGGGGGGGCGCCCAGTGCGGGCGGCGGCCCCGCGGCGCGCGCCTAGAGCTCGTCGTGGCTCCCCGCCGCGCTGCCGTCGGCCTGCCGCGGCCGCGGGGCGGCGCCCAGCTCCCGGGGGGGGGGGGGGCGGGCTGCGCAGCAGTGAAGGGGCCCTGGGACACGCAAGTGAATACACGCAAGTAAAAAGGTTCCCCATATCTTCCTACATTTTCTGGGCTTCTGTCTTCCCCCCCACACTGCCCATATCTTCCCCTGTTTTCTGGGGAGTCGTCGAGTAACTGTGTCTGTGGTGCTCTTTCCCCTCCTGAAGCAGCGCGCGGCAATGAAGGGGCCCGGGGTGTGCGTGCGTGTCTGTCGGCGGAGTGTCGCCGCCCAGTCTGGGGGGCACCCCGAGCGACCCGGACCGGCGACACTGGCCGAAGGTCACTACAAGAGACACAGATCCCAGGATTACCCATATCAGTTTATCTATGCTGGGTTTTCGTCGTCCCCCTCCCTGTCCATGTTGTCCTATACTTCCCTGGAGATCGACGATCAATTGTGTCTGGTGCCGTGTCTCTCAGTGCTTCCGCGTCGCTCTATCATGTGGAATTCAACCCTGGACGCCTTCGCTTGCGTCGCCAGCGCGCCAACGCCGCGTGAACCCACCGTCTTCGCGTGGACTTCAAGCCCCTCTGGGGGATCCCTCGTGCTGCCAGGGGGAGGGCGAAGGAGGAGGGTGGGGGGGGGGGGAGAAGCGACCGTGAGGAAAATCCTGGAGGCCTCGCACGGCAACGAGCCCCGGAGCGGCCTCAAGCTGGCCCCGCCAAGCGCGCGAGGAGGTCCCGGAGAGGCCCCAGAAGGGGGGGCCCGAAGAGGCGGCAGGGCTCGAAGAGGGCCCGCAGCAGGCCCCGAGGAACCCTGGGAGGGCCCGAAGAGGCGGCCAAAGAGGCGTCCCCTCCTCCCCCTCCTCCTCCTCCTCCTCCTCCTCCTCCTCCTCCTTGTTCCTCCTTCCTCCCTCCTCCGTCCTCCTTTCTCCTTCCTCTCTCCTCCTCCCCCTCCCTCTTTCTCCTCCTCCTCCTTTATCCTCCTCCTACTTACCCTCCTCCTCTTTATCCTCCTCTCTTCTCCTCCCCCTCCCTCTTTCTCCTCCTCCTCCTTATCCTCCTCCTTATCCTTATCCTCCTCCTTATCCTTATCCTCCTCCTTATCCTTATCCTCCTCCTCCCATAACGCCGCAAGAGGCGGTCTGAGAGGGCCTGGCAAGAGCCGAAGAGCGGCTCCCGACGGGCCCCGAGAGCACGAGGAAGATCCTGGAGGCCTCGCGCGGCAACTTTCGGGTCGGGCGAAAGGGGGGGATAGCAAAAGGGGGGTTTGAGAATCAGCACACGTAGCTGATTTTCCCGGCGCCTCCCGGCGCCGGGAGGCGCCCATGTATCGAGGAATGGACCCTTCGGTGAGGCCGAAACCAGCTGCATGCAGCAAATTTCGTACCCCCCCCTTTCCTCATCGCCCCCTTTCGTCCAGCCCGAAACTTGAGGCCGCACTGACGTCGGATCCCCGTCGGATTCACGCCGGAGTGACGTCCGGCCTGCGTCGGAGCCTCGCCGCGCGCAACTGTTGGCCCCCACAGCTCACGGGGCGGGCGCGTGGACTATACGACGCCACTGTTGCATGCCGCGCGAGGCCTCCAGGATTCTTCCTCATAGGAAAGAGGAACGAGTACCTAGGTGGGGAAGAGAGGTGGAGGGGAATAGAGGGGCGAATGAGCGAGGGAGGGAGACACGAGGAAGGCTCCTCTTCGAGCGCGCCACTCCCGCTCGACCTGTTCTATGAGCTTTTTCTCTGGTGGCTGGCAACGACACGGGGGAGGGATGTAGAAAAGAGGGATGAGTAGTTTGGGAAGAAAGGAGGAGGGGAATAGAGCTACGAAGAAGGCGGGAAACACTAAAATGCACTTCTTCGAATGCGCCGATCCCGAACGATCGGTTCCGTGAGCGCTCTCTTTGATGTTGATTGTGCTTGTACGGACTGTCGTCCTTGGCTGCAGTTTTGTGGTCTTGAGGAGAAAGCTACCAGGAACAAGTAGGAGGTGGAGCGAGCGAGGGAGGAGACATTGAGGGAGATGGAGGAGGAAGGCGAGGACCATACCCGCCTGCGCCCGCGCAAGTATGTATCCCGCATACGGCGCAGCAGTAACCCAGCATCGGAGACGCAGGAGGACCTTACAAGGGGCTATGCCCGGACATGATCCTGAGAACACCCGGCGCCACATGGAATGTTGCGCGCCGTCCGCCAACTCCTGGCCATGGTCTGTCCTGATAACTTTCAAAATGGCACCTCTCTGCCGAATGACGGGGACCCGCTAGTCTCCCCCTCCTCTTCCTCCTCCTCCTCCTCCTCCTCTTCCGCCTCTTCCTCCTTCTCTCCTCCTTTTGCTCCTCATACTTATCCTCACTCATCCTCGTTATCCCCCTCCCTCCTCGTCCTCATCTTCCAACCGCCTCGACCTTCCTCCTTCTACTCCCACCCCTTCCTGCTACTACCGCTCATACTTGGTGTCGGCGTCCAGTCCAGTCGTGGCAACACGCCTCCAGTTCCTTGCATCTGGAAGCTCTGGTTTGGAGGAAGAGCAGCAGCAGGAGCAAGAGGGTGAAATTGACGAGAAGAAATCGGATGAGGAAAAAACGTGAGGAATATGTAACATGACTCATCCTGCTCACCGTCGTTCCTCGTGTCAAATAGAGTGCACAGGCTGGCTTCCCGCTGTCCAACCGACCAATCCTAACCCGCCTGGCAGCGCAACAAAATGTTGGTTTCACATCCGCGCCCTCCCGTTGCGCACAGGGAGAAGGGCAGAACACGAAACACAACGGGCGCGCAACCTTGTCCCCCGCAGAAGGGCCGGAGGACTCGTTGGCACCGTCCTGGGCATGCGGGGGAGCTTTCTGCTACTGCCGCCAGTGCTGCTCATTCAGCCCCTCTTGCTCCTCCTCTTTTCCTCCTCCTCCTCATCCTCCATCCCTTTCCTTATACATAGCTTCTCCCTGTCGCAACCCGAGGCCAATTCTTAGGGCGAGTCGGGCGTTTCCAATGAGGCGTTAACAATTCGCAACAGTTTCACAGATGGAGGGCGGGTCTTTGTCAACATGTCTCGCCTTAGCGCCGCGTGCATTTGTTTTAAACATGTGCAACAGTTTCACGGATTCCCATCATCAACGTACCAGGCACGGCGTTTTGGAAGGATTCAGGATTATGCGGGTGCAACAGTTACGTTGATTCGCTGTGTTGAAGTCCCAGGAATGGCGTTCTGGTACGAGTCAGGATCGTCAAGACGCAACAGTCAGGTTGATCCGTGGCGTGGGAATCCCGAGAACAATGGTTTGGCATGCTTTAGGGTCTTCAAACGGTTGCCTTCCAACGGCGCAGCTGCCTCAATGGAGATGAACCGTTGTAGGGGCCTGTGAAGAGGGAGCTTGGAGGGAGGGTTGCTTCCAACATCTTTGATGACCCTTGGGTTTACGCTGGTCCTCCTCCTCCACCTCTTCATCCTCCTCTTCCCTCCTCCTCCTCCGCCCTCCCTCCCGAGGCCCTGGAAGCAGGGGAGGAGGAAGACGGGAGAAGGGCCGTCCGCCACAGGACGGGGGGGCGCAGCAGAGGCAGGGGGGGGACGAGAGGGAATGGCGACAGGAGGATGGCGATGAGAGCCGAGACGAACCGCGGGAGGTTGGGGCGGGCTCACGCGCGCGTACGTGTGGAGATGGGCATAGAAGCGGTTGAGGACAGGACCTGCTGTCGTGGGGGCCTTCTTTCTGGCCTTATGGCCTCCAGAACGGCACGACACCAAGATGGCCCACGACGGCTCTGGAGGCTCCCAAGATCAAGAGACCCTTACGACGGACCGAGAGGGCTCCAAGAGGCCCTCCTCGAGAGCCCGAGGAGGCCAACACCGTTGATGTTCCTTATGTATTCAAAAGGGTTTTCAGGTTCTCACTGGTTCGGGTTTCCGACCGCCAAGACAGCCCAAACAGCCTCCAAGAGGCCTCCAATAGGCCTCAAAGATAGCTCCAAGACAGCCCAAAGGACGCCCAAGAGGGCCTCAAGTCGGCCCAAAATGTCAAAACATCTCCCAAAAGGGTCCCAAGACGGCGGTGAACCGCTCCAAGATGGCACCAGCACGGGATTGGGTCACCTAGAGCGGCCTCCATAGACATCAAACGGGCCAAGAGTCCCGCAAGACTGCGGAAGAGGCCCCCCTGAAGCCCCCATGAGGCCCTCACGCGGCCCCCAAATAGGTTTCAGGAAGCTCCCAGGAGGCCTCCAGGAGGCCTCAAGAAGCTTTCTCCTCCTCGTCCTCCTCTTCCTCCTCCTCCTTCTCCTCCTCCCTACCGCGCGGACGAAAACGAGGTCGGGGTCACGACCCGTCCCAACCACGGCTTCCGCGTGCGACCAACGTCCGACATGACACACGTGACGGCTTCCGCGTTTGACACACGCCCGAAATGTCACATGTGACGGCTTCCGCAGTGTGAGCCACGCCCGGCATGTCACATGTGACGGCTTCCGCATGCGACCAACATCCGACATGTCACATGTGACGGCTTCCGCGTGTGACCAACATCCGGCATGTGACGGCTTTGACCCACGCCCGACATGTCGCATGTGACGGCTTCCGAGCGTGACCATAGTCCGACATGGCACATGTGACGGTCTCCGCGTGTGACGCCTGCTCGTCGGAATTGCGCTGTTCCTATACTCGGTCTCCTTCCTGCAACTCTGCTGCACAAGCACGGTGGCGTGGCGTGCCGCAGGCAAGGTGGATAAAACACCAATTGACGAAACGGCCTGGGCAATGTGGGGATCCGAAACACGCTCGGAACCCATTCGAAAACGGTTCGGATCAGAAAAAACACCAGGTGATCTGGACCAGGCCCGCCCCAGAGGTCACGAAAACGGTAACACGCCGGCGCCGAGCAAAAAAAGCGCCATAAACTCTAAAACAAGCGAACAAAGAACGGAGGCGGTGAAACACGGCCATGCCTCCTCCCTCGTCCTGGTTGGTTGGCTGGTTGATTGGCGCACTCTCGTGCGTGCCAGCGGCGCGTGGCCGCTCGGCGTGGGTCTGGGCGCGCGCCTGCTGCACAGCGTTGTCGCATGGCCCACCCACTCCACCCTGCGCTGTGCTCCACTGGCGCGCACAGCTGCGTCCGGAGGAGGGGGGGGAGGAGGAGGAGGAGGAGGAGGAGGAGGAGGAGGAGGAGGAGGAGGAGGAGGAGAGGAGGAGGAGGAGGAGGAGGAAGAGCAGGAGGAGGAGGAGGAGGACCTCCCGGGTCAGGGCCCGCCAGGGCCCACGGAGTCCCTCCACGCATCCGGGGCCCTCGGGCGCTCGGAGGTCACCTGCGCGCCCCCGCTCGCCCCCCGACTGCCGCTCCTCGCAGGCGCGGAGGGGGGCACTCACAGGAAGAGAGCACGCAGGAGGAGGAGGAGGAAAATGAGGAGGAGGAGGAGGGGGAGGAGGAAGATGAGAAGGAGGAGGAGGAGGAGGTGGAGGAGGAGGAGGAGGAGGAGGAGGGAAGAGTGGGGGAGGAGGAGGAGAGGAGGAAGGAGGAGGAGGAGGAGGAGGAGGAACAGGAGGAGGAGGAGGAACAGGAGGAGAGGAGAACAGGCGGAGGAGGAGATAATGAGGAGGGGACGAGGACGAGGACGAGGACGGGACGAGGAGGAGGAGGAGGAGGAAAAGGAGGAGGAGGAGGAGGAGGAGAAGGAGGAGGAGGAGGGAGGTGTGGTGATGATGATGATGATGATGATGATGATGATGATGATGATGATGATGAGGAGGATGATGATGATGATGATGATGATGATGATGATGATGATGATGATGATGATGATGATGATGATGATTATGATGATGATGAGGAGGAGGAGGAGAAGGAGGAGAAGGACGAGGACGAGAAGGAGGAGGAGCAATTCGCTGGGGATAAGGCCTTTGCGGATACGCTGAAGGTCATCAGGAGGACGATGATGAGAATGAGGATGATGATGAGGATGAAAAGGATGAGGAAGAGAAGGAGGAGGAAGAGGAGGAGGAGGACCAGGAGGACTAGGAGAAGGAGGCGGAGAGGCAACATCAGCAGCGCCAGCAACATCAGGGGGGAGGGCCTGAGGTCAGGAACTGCCATGTTGGTTGGTGCAAGGGGGAACTGCGGCCGAGGTCGGCATCCTGGCTGACATTGCTGCCGTTGAAGTTCCGTGCCATGTGCTCGTAGTAGGAGCGCCTGTCAAGCTAGTGGGTCCATTACTATGGAGTGTAGGCGCCAACAGAAGGGGAAGCGCCTCCATGCCCATTGCTCATTCCTCGTCATGCTCATGCACATAACGGTTCATTCTGAGGTCGACGAACAACACACACACACCGATACAGAAACACAAAGACACACCGACACAGAGACACGTAAAAAGAGAGACACAGAGAAACAGCGACACCAGGACACAGAGACTCACACAATCACAGACAGAGACACAGACAGAGACAAAGACAAAGACACAGGCAGAAACATAGACACAGACACAGACACAGACGCAGAGACAAAAACAGACACACAAACACAGACACAGAAACAGACGGAAACACAGACACAAACACAGACACTGACACAGCCACAGCCACAGCCACAGCCACAGCCACAGCCACAGTCACAGACACAGACACAGACACACACACACACACACACGCACGCACGCACACACACACACATTGTGCGTCGGAGGCTGGGCAACGATTACTGCTCCGGCGTTGACACACACACACACAACAACCGACACACCAACACACCGACACACCGACACACCGACACACCCACACACCCACGACCGACAGACACGCATACCTACAGACCAACGGACCCACGGACCCACAGAGCCACCGACCCACATATCCACACGCCCCATCCCTTCCACCCCAACACCCGAACATCCCCGTACCCCCACACACCCACACACACATACACACAAACGCACACACACACACGCATACACACACACGCATACACAAGCACACACAACGCACGCACACGCACACGCACACATATGCACACGCTCAACCACACGCCACGTACATCGCGTACCCTCATCCGCACGCACGGACACATTCGACACTCACGACATACACGCACAAACGAAGCACACGACACACACATACACGGCACACACGACACATTCTCACTCGCACATGACACACACACGTCACATACGACATACACGCGCACGCATACACACGCGCACGCACACACAAACACAAACACACACACACACAAACACAAACACACAAGCACGCACGGACGGACGGACGCACGCACGCACACCTACACGCACACCCACACACCGACACACAGACACACGCACACACACACACACACGCACGCACACAAGCACGCACGCACACACACACACACACCGACACAAACACACACGCACACACACACAAACACACACACACACGCACGCACACACACACAAGCACGCACGCACGCACACACACACACACCGACACACACACACACACGCACACACACAAACGCACACACGCACGCACACACAAACCCACACACCCACACACCCACACACACATGCACACGCACATGCCCCCCCCCCCACACACACACATACACACACAACACACACATGACACACACGACACACGCACGCACACGGCACACACGTCACATGCGACACGCACGCACACATAACGCGCCCGCACACACACAAACACACAAACAAACACACGAACGACCACACACACAAACACACAAACACGCACGCACGCACGCACACCCGCACGTACATCCCCCACACACACACACGTATACACACACACGTACACATACACACACACGCACGCACGCACGCACGCGCGCGCGCACGCACACGCGCGCACACACACACACCGACACACACACACACGCACACACACGCGCACACACAAGCACGCACACACAAACCCACACACCCACACACACACACACACGCACACGCACGCGCCCACACACACAGAGACTCACGCACACCCACACACCCACACACCAACGCCCCCCCACACACACACTCACACACGCATGCTTACAAACGCACACACACACACGCACACACACACACACACACACTCGCACACGCACGCACGCACACACGACGCACGCACATCAACGCACCCGCGCACACCCACACCCCCACATACACCAACAGACACGCAGAGACACTGCGTTCGTTGGCGGCGGGGCAGAGGTAAACTGAAGGGTCAAGCAATTCGGGGCTGCCGACGAGCGATTTGTCACGCGTGCAAGAGGAGAGACTGAGACAAACACAGCAGCCGCGGAGGCGGGGGAGGAGGCGGGGGGCACGCAGCGTTGGAAGACTTCCATCCCGAGCGCGCTGGCGCGGCAAGCGCTGGCAGCGGTGGCCGCGGTGCGGGCCAGGCCGCGGCGTCGGCGCATCCACGGGCGCCGCCGATGCCCGGTGCGCGGGAGGCAAAGGCTCGCACACCTGAGCGGTCCAGGTGTGGGCCGACTAAGTACTGAAAGCGAGGGGAAACGCACAGCGGAACCGCCCATGCGTGGGCCGACTAGGTACTGCAACTGGCGAGAAAAACAATCTAGGTTGCAGACTGTCAACAGCAGAATGCTGTGCCCGCTGGGTATAGGGCGAAGACTGCGGCGAGGCGCAGGATCCAGGAACACCACCACCAAGGGAAGCTGCCAACCGAGGCTGCAGCGACGGCGCTGTGGCGGCGCGCGAAGTCTGGGTCGGACGTTGTCCCCCCCCCTCCAAGGGGCGGTCGACCCAGACGAGAGCTGATCCACCTGGAACTGTATGAAAACAAAAACACGACGGGCTGAAAATCCCCCCCAAGAGCGGGGTAGCTATGTCCCCTAGCGCGCTCGTCCACCTACTCCTGTAACCCTGCCCCTGCTGGAACCACAACCACTTCCTCCTCCTCATTCCTCCTCCTCCTCCTCTTCCTCCTCCTCCTCCTCCTCCTCCTCTTCTTCTTCTTCTTATTCTTCTTCTTCTTCGTCTTCTTCGTATTCTTCTTCTTCTTCTTCTTCCCCTCCTCCTCCTCCTCCTCCTCCTCCTCCTCCCTCCTCCTCCCTCCCTCCCTCCTCCCTCCCTCCCTCCCTCCCTCCCTCCTCTTCCTCCCTCCCTCCTCCTCCTACCTCCCTTCCCTCCCTCCCCCCTCCCTCCCTCCCTCCCTCCCTCCCTCACTCCCTCCCTCCCTCCTCCCTCCCTCCCTCCCTCCTTCCCTCCTTTCCCTCCTCCCTCCCTCCTGCCATCCCCCGCAGGAACCTGGCGCGCTAGTGCCCCGGCGGGAGAGGGAATGCACCCGCGCTGCAATGGCTAGCCACCGCCGCCCACGCGCACATACCCTCGACGGCCGTGTCGCCCGGCGCTGTGGTCTCAACATCCGGCCCAACTCCTGGGCCGCGTTCGGCCCCAGCGCTCGCAGCGAGGCCAGCGCTGCGTGCTGCGCTACTCGGGGCCCCCCCGAACGGAATGGTGACCACATCGCGTGGTGAGTTAGCAGGGATTCGGGGTCACCGCGCGGTTTGGGGATTCGGGTCCTTCCCCAAAGACGCCTCGGGCGACTGGGGCCTCCGAGGTCCCCAAACCGTGCAGTGACGGATTGCGCGGTGGTCTCATTAGAGGAACAAAAAAAAAACATTAACATAAAGTTTTGACGGTCCGCTCGGATTTCTTGGATCTGCGCCAGACCCTCCTTCCTGGCGCGCGGAGCGTGCCAGGGGTGGCGCCGGGAGCGCCGCCGAGGGGGCCCGGGCGCTGATTCGAGAAATCCGCGCGGAACGTCGAAAGTTTATGTGCATGCCGTTTCTTGTTTTCCGACTTTTGGGACTTCGAGGTCGCCGCGCGGTCCGTCACCGCGCGGCTCGGGGGCCCCCGAACCACGGTCACCTCTGATGGGCCGATGTTCCACAACCACTACCATCGGCAGGAGGGTAGGAGGGAGAAGGGGTGGGGGGGGAGGGGGGGGAGGAGGAGGCGGAAGAGGAGGAGGAGGAGGAGGAGGAGAAGGAGGAGGAGGACGAGGAGGAGGAGGCAGGAGGAGGAGGAGGAAGGAGGGAGGAGGAGGAGGAGGAGGAGGAGGAGGAGGAGGACGAGGCGGAGGAGGGAGAGGAGGAGGAGGAGGAGGAGGAGGAGGAGGAGGAGGAGGAAGAGGAGCAGCAGGAGCAGGAGGAGGGAGGAGAGGAGGAGGAGGATGGGGGGGAGGGGGAGGGAGGAGGAGGAGGAGGAGGAGGAGGAGGAGGAGGAGGAGGAGGAGGAGGGGGGGAGGAGGAGACGGAGGAAGAGGGGGAGGGGGAGGAAGAAAAGGAGGAGGACGAGGAGGAGGAGGACAAGCAGGATGATGATGATGATGATGGTGATGATGATGATGATGACGGTGATGATGATGAAGATGATGATGATGATGAGGAGGAGGAGGAGGGGCGGAGGATGGGGGGGAGGGGCAGGGGCAGGGGCAGGGGGAGGGGGAGGAGGCGGAGGAGGAGGCGGAGGAGGAGGAGGAGGAATATTTTTTGAACATGAACAATTGCTGGCGAGCAACAGCTAACGCCAGCCTGCTGAGAGCCATCTCAAGCAGAATGCCGCGCGCGGGGCCCTGGGCGGCGCATTGGCCGCCCAAGGGCCCCACGGCGCGAAACGCAAGCCGCGGCAGTCGGGCTGCTGAGGACCTCCAGCGGTGCGCTCAGCAAACCCGACCGCCGCGGCAACGACGACGACCACCAACGACACGACACGACGGGGAAAAAAGGACCGCCAGTCCCGCACCAAGGCGGCGAGTGCGGGGAGTGGACTCCCGCACCGCCCTGGGGGAGGCCACGGGACATGGCAGCCCCCCGCGAATGAAAGCCCGGGTGCGGGGGCTTGGGTCCCGAAGGCCCGGTGCCCCCCGCCTGCACCAGGGGGCACTTTGGCCCGACACCCCGCTTATGGGGGTGCCCCTCCGGGGAGGAGGAGGAGGAGGAGGAGGAGGAGGAGGAGGAGGAGGAAGAGGAGGAGGAGGCGGAGGAGGAGGAGGAGGAGGAGGAGGAGGAGGAGGAGGAGGAGGAGGAGGAGGAGGAGGAGGTCCTCCCCATCTCCCCTTCTCCCCCGTCCTCCCTAAAAATTGGCCCGTCAGTCTCCACGTCGGCCTGGAACGCACTCAGGGACCTCCTGGGCCGACGGCGGCGCATTGCCGCCCAGCGCCTGCAGCGCCCCGGGGGCCCGCAAGGCCGACCGCATCCAGAGCAAACGGCGTGGCGGAGTCGGGCGTGTCCCCCTACATGGGGATCTGCGAAGAAGAATTCTGAAAAATGCACAAACAATGCTGCAACAACGCCAAAAAAAACAAAAAAAATAGTCCCCATACCATATTACAACTATTTTTGAATATCCCCCCTGTAGAGGGGCAAGCCCGACTTAACAGCAGGGGAAACCAACAGGTACCGATGCCGCTGCTCCCCGAAGCTCTCCCGGGGTGCGTTCGGACCAGAATTTCCAGGCGAATCCAGCGGTGATAAGGAGGTCCTCCCAGGGGGCCCAGGATAGGGGAAAGCGGGCGAAGGGTAGCGGTATCGATATCTTTTGCTTCTCTGAGCAGAGGCGAGTCACTTTGCCCCGCTCGCCGTCGAATGCCGCCGCGCCAGACTGATGGCGCGGCCGGGTGGGCTCACGGACAAACAGGAAGCGCATCGTGGGCGCCACGAGGCGGGCCACACCACGGCCAAGTCCGTCATGCGTTCCTCGACCGTCCCGTGCGCTGCACGCAGAGTTCCGTGACGCAGCACTCCGCAGCAGCGAAGGCGCCTGTGCGCTCGACGCGCCGGCGGATCCTCGCCGCGACAGCGTTGTGGCCTCGCAGGTTCCCCCTTCGGCCTTTGGGACCGACTCCCTCCTTCCCTCCCTTCCTCCCTCCTCCTCTTCCTCCCTCTCTCTCTCTCTCTCTCTCTCTCCCTCCCTCTCCCCTCTTCCTCCAGGCTCCATTCTCCTCTGCCTCTTCAGTCTCCCCGTCCTCCTCGTCCTCCTCGTCGTCCTTCTCCTCCCCAGCCTCCTTCTCCTCCCCCTCTGGCCTCATCCTCCTCCTCCTCCTCCTCACTATCTTCCTCCTCTTTCTCTTCCTCCTCCTCCGCCTCCTCCTCCTCCTCCTCCTCCTCCTCATCATCATCATCATCATCATCATCATCATCACTATCACCATCACCATCATCAACATCATCCGCATTATCATCATCACCATCAGCATCATCATCATCATCATCATCATCATCATCACCATCACCATCATCATCCACATCAACATCAACATCATCATCAGCATCAACATCATAATAATGATACTGGTAATGATGATCAGCATACTCATAATCATAATCATTATCACAATCATCATCAGCAGCATCATCATCGCTACCATCATCATTCCCAACACCATCATCATCACCAGCAACAATATCACCAAACTTCAGCACCGGCATCATTATCAGCATCGTCATCACCATTGACATCAACAACACCCTCAACATCTACTTCAACATCAACAACAGCACCAGCACCACCATCATCATCACCACCATCATCATCATCATCATCATCATCATCATAATCATCATCATCATCAGCATCATCATCAACATCAGCATCATCAAAATCAGCATCAACATCATCATCCTCAGCAAAACCACCATCATCATCATCATCGTCATCATCATCGTCATCGTCATCAGCAGCATCAGCATCATCAGCATCAGCATCACCATCATCGTCATCATCAGCGGCATCAGCATCACAACCAGCATCAGCATCAGCATCGGCATCATCATCATGAGCACCACCACAACCGCCACAACCACCACAACCACCTTCACCATCACCTCCACCACCATCATCATCAACATCAGCTTCAGCATCATCATCATCATCATCAGCAGCAGCAGCACCATCATCATCATCATCAGCATCTTCATGGTCATCGTCATCGTCATCATCATCATCATCATCACCATCATCATCATCATCAACATCAGCATCATCGTCATCAGCACCATCATCATAATCAATCTCGTTATCGTCGTCATCATCATAATCATCATCATCATCATCCTCAGCGTCCTCCTCATCGTCCTTCTCCTCGTCCTTGTTGTCGTGCCCTCCTCCGCCTCCTCTTCCTCTTTCGTCGTCCTCTTCCTCCTCCTCCGCCTCCTCCTCCTCCCACCTCTGCTGTAGTTCCCCCTCCTCCTCATCCTGCGTGCTGCCCTGCGCGTCCCGCTGTTCCTGCTCACACATTCGTCTCTGCCCCCTCCTCCCTCAATGCCTCCTCGCCTTCCTCCCAACGCTGGCACATGTAGTCGGAGCTGTTCTGGCCGAAACCGGAGAAGTTGGACTTGGCGAAATCCCTGGATGCTAGATGGGGGGGCGGGGAAGGGAATACGGAGGAGGGAGGAAGCGGAGGAGGCTGAGGACGGAGGAGAGGAGGACCATTCGGGAAGAAAACGCACACACCTAAGCTGGCGGAGGTCCGCACGGATTTCCAGGGTGGGTGCTGGACACCCCTCCCTGGTGCGCGGAGTCCTCCTCCTCCTCTTCCTCCTCTTCCTCCTCCTCCTCCTCCTCCTCCTCCTCCTCCTCTTCCTTCTCCTCTTCCTCATCTTCCTCCTCCTCCTCCTCCTCCTCCTCCTCTTCCTCATCGCCCTCCTCCTCCTGTGCTTCCCCGAAAACCCAATGAGATGGTCCGAATGGCGTACGCGGGTTCATACACGGATGTGGCACCGTAGGGAGCTTTACCGAAGGCCCCAACGGGAGGGTCCGCGTGGCGCACGCGTGCCCAACTTGACACCCCTTGCACGCTCCGTGGCCCCCACTGGGAGCTCCGCAGACGGCTCCAGTGGAAAGGTCTGCGCGGCGCATGTTGGTCAATTTCGGCACACCCCTCACCCGCTTCACGGCCCTAGAAGGAGCTCCAGCGAGGGCACCAATGGAAGGGTCCGCGTGGCGTACGCGGGTCCATTGCGGTTCGCCCTTCACACGCTTCGTGGCCCCTATCAGGAGCTCCATCGAAGGGCCTAGCCCATAACAGGAGTGTCCGCGTGGCGTACGCGGGCCCATTTCGCCACGCACACTCACACCATGGGGAATTGCGCAAAGGGCCTGGTGGGAGGGTCCGCGTCGCGTGCGCGGGATCACATGTTTCGTGGCCCGTCAGGGAGCTCCACAGAAAGCCCCAGAGCCAGGTCCCTCATGCGTGCCTGTGCCCTATTCGGCACGCCCTTTGCACACTTCGTGGCCCCAGGAAGAACTCACCCTCCTTCATCACCACCCGCCTTACGATACTCAAGCCTGCACTTGGTTTGGTCGCTCGCTGGGATAATTGGCTGGCCGGTGGTGGGTGCGAGGCCTGCGCCGGGTTCCTTGGTCTTGTTTCCTCGGTGGCTTTGCTCGGGGTTCCCTCGTCCTGTTTCCTTGCAGTGACCTTCCCCGGGATTCCACTGCCACGTGTTTAGTCGCTTGATACCTAAACAAAAACCTGCGAACAAGTGTCCCTGACCCAGGCCGACTTGCGAAACCGACACGGCAGCTAGTCAGCTCACAGAGGCTGTCTGGCGCACGTGGCCGAAACTCGGGCAACCGACTCGGGGCAGAGGGGGAAAGGGGGGCGGCGGCGGCGGCGAACCTCTGCAGGTACACGAGTCTGAACGCTGGCATTCAACGAATTGGCCTGACAGCTCAAGTGCCTAGAGTGCGCTATATTAAGCGGTGCATCGCACGTGGGGGGGGCTCGAACGCGCCTCGGCCAACCCAGCTCGGAGATATCCCTGGGGCCAGGACGCGGACGAGGACGAGGGGGGGAAAGTCCACTGCGCCCCGCGCGCGGCGAGAGCGCACGGGGCGAACGCGCAGCCGCGGGGCGTGAGCCACCGGACCCCGCCGTCAGAGGCGCGCGCGCGCGCCCGCGCCTCGAGAGGGAAGAGAGGGCAGCCAACGCGGGGGTCGAGAGGAAGAGGCGGGAGCAGAGAGGAGGGCACCGGGGGGGGAGGGGGGAGCGAGAATGAAGGGGCCCTGGGACACACAAATAAATACACAGAAGTAAAATCATTCCCCATATGTTCACACATGTTCTGGGTCTTTGTCTCCCCCCCACTTGCCATATTTCCCCATAGTTTCCGGGAAATCGACGATTCATTGTGTCTGTGTGCTTTGTCCCCTCCTGAGAGGAGAAGAGTGGACACCCCTGGGGCCCAGCACAGAGACGCGGGTAGGCCGGCACGCCCAAAACCCACCCGCAGCCTCACGCTGGCGCCGGTCAGGGTGAACGAAGCGTGCCCCGCCCCTCCCATACAGGGAACACGCGCAAGTATGCCGAAAGGCAAGCGGGAGGCAGGCGGCGCAGGAGGAGGGCGGAGAGAGGAGCGCGGAGGCCGAACTGACTGCACGACGCCCTCGAGGCCCGGCGCGCCCCACCTGCTGCTGGCAGGGGGCGTGGCCGGAGGGCGAGCCTCCTCAGAGGAAGTTCTCTCCTCCTCCTCCTCCTCGTCCTCCTCCTCCTCCTTCTCCTCCTCGCCCCGGAGTGAGGCTGGCCCTCTGCCCCCTCGCGCCGTGCCGCCGACGGGGCCTTCGCAGACCTGCCGCAGCCGCTGCGGGCCAGGGGGCTCCCCAGCCGCCAGCGTGGGGCTCCCGCGAGCCGTGGGCGTGAGCTCTCGAGCCCCGCCGCCGCGCGCTCGACGTCCGCTCTCTGAACACCGCTGGAAGAAGGGCTCGCAGGCCGAGCCGTACCAGAAACACCGTGCCGCACCACCCCTGAGTCAGGGGCCCCGTGTCAGTTTGGGGCGCCCGAAGTGGGTACCGGGAAAGCGGGCACGATGCCCAACATCGCATGCTGTCCAAAACCCACGGCGGCAGATGCTGGCCAGGCGGGCCTGTGTCTCCAATGAACACACAACGAGCGCGGCGACGCCGACCTCCCCAAAAAGTCGCTGCGAGGTCCCGGGGGCGCAGGCGGAGCCGAGCGCCTCGCCGCCTGGCCCCCAGGACCCGCGGCGCCCAGATGTTGTCCGCGGTCCTGCGCAGACGCTCGGCCTGCCCGCCGCCGTCCTGTCTTCGGAGGGCCTGGCTGGCAGCAGGCCCGACTTCTCCCGCGCTGCCGCGGCCCCCGCGAGAGCGGCTTCGCCGAAGACCGCGGCGCGGACGGCGCTGTGCTTCACAGCGCGGTCGCCGTCGCAGCAGCACATTTTAAGGCGCGGCACCCGAAGGTGTCGAACAATTCGCCGCAACATGGGCAGCTGGCGCCAGCCGGCACCACGGGCAGCCGCGAGCGCCGCCGGAGGGCGACCTTGAACGGCACCGCCTCGATTTCCCTTCCCTCCCGTCGTCAACCGGGGGGAGGAGGAGGAGGAGGAGGAGGAGGAGGAGGAGGAGGAGGAGGAGGAGGAGGAGGAGGAGGAGGAGGAGATCCTGGCAGCGAGGCCACGGAGAGGTGAGCCAGCCATGGCCCCTCGGCCTGCGCCTCTCCGCCCCGTGCTGGGCCTCAAAAGCGGCGGCCCATCGCGATGGAGGCCGACAGCGCCTCTTACCGGACAGCGCCATCAGGCAGGCGCAGGCTGGCCGCCTCCAAGCAGCTCCCCCTGGGCTGCGAGCGCCGCAGCGCAATGGCCGCGACGGCATTTGGCAATGGACGTCGAAGTCGGGGTCGGTTCGAACGCAGAGGCCCTGGCGCGACCGCGTAGACGAGACGCGTGCCGCTGGGGCGCGCGCCGCTGCATCACGCAACCCAAGGCCGCCAATCGCGATGCTCACCTGCGCCTGCGTCCAAGCGTGGTCCGTGAGCTCCCCCTCCGGAGGGCCTCCAGGACGCTGCGCAGGTCAGGCGAGAAAAGCATCGGTGCCTCGTGATGCAGGCGGGGAGGGGCCACTCTGGCAGAGTAGGCGAGCTTGCAGAATTCCGCGCAAGCCCGCAGCATCAGCAGCCCCTCCTGGCAAGGACTTGCGCCCTATAGCTTGGCGGGCACGGCCGATGCCTGACCTGTCCTCTCGGGCGCGTGCGCGGCGCAGAAGGCCTCGGACCCGAAGGCCGCCCCCAGGAGCTTGAAGTTGCCGTCTGCGTGCCACGTGAGGTCCGGGTGCGCATCTGTAGGCAAGTGGTGCTGGCTGGCGGTCGGGGCGACCTCGCACTTCGAAGGAGGCAACTCCAAGCCGATCCCAACAAAACGATGTTTTGGCTGCCTGCCGAAAGCCGACGCGGTCCGAGCAGCCCCCCCCCGCGACGCCGTCATTCAGGTAAAACGCACAAACATACACGCACAGCTCAAGCTCACCTGGAAGCGAGACGTCGACAGCCGCCCGGGCAGCCGGACCACGCTCGTGCATTGCGAAACTGAAGAGCGCCAGGCCCAGGGCCCCCCCCCTTGCTCGACCCCCCATCGAACTCTGGATTCGCTCCATCCGCCGCCGGAGGTTGCTGCTGCTCGGTTAGCAGAGGTCCGCCCAAAGAGCCCAGGAAAAGAGCCACCTCCGGGTATCGGGAGCGGCCAAGAGGGGGGTGTCCAAGAGGGGGGGGTGCAAATCATGACCGGCGGCATGTGCGCGGCCCAGCGGGGGGGCCAGGGACGTAATGAAATAAGAAGAGGCGCCATAAGATCTGGGGAAATATCATGGCCCACGCCATGATATCCACCCCCCCCTAATCATTACCCCCCTCTTTTCCGCCCCCTCCGGGTAGCGGCAAAAACCGCCGACCTGTCGCCCGCGGTTGGGGGAGCTGCCGAAGGTCGAGCGTAGAGGCACAACGACGCACCCGTCTGTGCACGCCAGGGGTGCGCGAGAGCCGCGCGCGGACGGCGTGCGCGAGGGCCGCGCAGCCCAGCTTCGGGCCCGCGCCGAGCTGGGAAGCGCAGAACAGTTCGCCGAGGCCGTCCTTCGCGTTCGGCGCTAAGCCCAGGTCGGGCACGTCCCCCTACAGGCGAATTTGGGGCGAAAAATCACAAATATTCAAAAATACCCTAAACTATTCAAACAAACATCTAAAACATCGTCCCCAAACTATTGTTGGACAATCTTTGAGCATTCCTCCTGTAGAGAGATACGCCCGACTTCACACGAAGCGCTTGCCCGCGATGCGCTGGAGGGCTTCGCCCGCGGCCACAGGCTGGCGGCTCCCGTCTGGCTCGGCCAGGGCCCACAACGCAGCGCCGCATTGCCAGGGCTGGATGCTCTGAGGGGCCTCGCCAAGAGACAGCGTGTTCACCACAACTGCGAACTGACAACTGTTCACCGTCCACCCGGGGACAAAGGCGTCTTTGATGTGCCGTGGGCGAAGCCCCGACGGGCCTCCCGCGGCGCCTCGCGAAAAGCTCCGGGCGGATTTGACCACCGCGTCGCCGTCCACCTAAACCGACGCCGCCGCGTGGATGGGCCGTAGCAGCAAGGACTCTCGCAACAACCCCACGGCCCTGGACTCCGTCTGCTCCTTGGGGAACTCTTTGCTTCCACCGACCCCCGATCCCCTCCGAGCCGTCCGCCATGGCGATCCTCGAAGCCCCTTCAACCAAGTCCGGCCTAATGCATGTGCCTCGCTTTCGCACATCTTCCGGTTTTTCTCCCCCCACGCAGCGTTGTCCGCAATGCCGCCTTCGGACGCATCAGAAGCTCCAGCCAGGCCCGACTGTCTCCATGCTGGGCCACCGCAGCCACGGGCCCCTGCAAGGCACTGCCCCCAGAACTTCCGGGCGTTGGCGGGCACGTGTTTCTTCGTCAAGGTCGGCTCCTCGAATATGGAATCGAAGGAAGGCAAGTCCTCGGGGATGGCACGGCCCGTGACCGCTACACTGAAGGGGAACTGGGACACACAAATAAATACACACAAAACAAATCCTATACTTTCCCATATTTTCTGGGTTTCTGTCTCCCCCCCACTTCCCATATTTTCCTATATTTTCCTGGGCATCGACGAATAATTGTGTCTGTGTTTCTTTCCCTCCTGATACACGCGAGGCAGCCATCAGCCCTGGGCGGCATCTTGGGCAAGCGCGCCCCTGCCGCCGGGCCAGCGCCTCACTGCAGACCTCGCACTGCACCGGGCCGTGACTGGACAGGAACTTCGGAGGGATCTCTCCCTGAAGGCGGCCCGACGCGCGCTCGTGAAAATGGGGCCGCACGGCCGCCAGCGACGCCCAGCCTGGCGAAGACACTGGATCAGCCCGTTGGCACCCGGGGACTGACTGGACAGAGCCTCGGCGCCGCCGGGGGTCCCCTCGCCGAGGCCCCGCCTGCGAGAGCGCCGCGCCGCGGCCCGCCCACCGCGCCCCCGAGCTGCTGGCCCAGCCCCCCCTGGAGAAACAGAACCCGCTCTGCGCCCGGCGACGGCGGGCTAGGAGGAGGAGGAGGAGGAGGAGGAGGAGGAGGAGGAGGAGGAGGAGGAGGAGGAGGAGGAGGGATAGGAGGAGGAGGAGGAGGAGGAGGGATAGGAGGAGGAGGGAGGAGGAGGAGGAGGAGGAGGAAGAGGAGGAGGAGGAGGGAGGGAGGAGGGGAGGAGGAGGAGGAGGAGGAGGAGGAGGGATAGGAGGAGGAGGAGGAGGAGGAGGAGGAGGAGGAGGGCCGCAGGTCCAGTGGAGGCGAAGCGACGCCGCGTTGCCAGCTGCGGCGCCTGTGCCGCGCCCGTCGCGGGCCGCCCGACGGTGTGCCTAGGCGATCCTGCCGGCGTCGCTCCGTCGGCGTCCAGCCTGCGGGCGCCGCGCCGCAGCTTCTCCAATCCAGCCCCAGGCCGCTGGCCGGGGTTCCTTTCCGGCGTTCCTCGTGGTTCCTTGGTATGGCTTTTGTTCAGTGGCTTGCCCTTGGGTTCCTTGGTCTTGTTTGTGAATTCCCAAACGACGCCAAAGCAGCGCCAAGCATCGCGAAGCAGCGCCCAGCAAGGCCAAGCAAGGCCAAGCAATGTCCCCATGCAGTAGCAAGCGTACCCCTAGTTGAGGTGGCGTTGGGCTCACTTCATCTTCGAGGAAAAGAGCCAGGAGCCATCCGAAGCGAAACCTGGCCTGCAACAGTGAGAGAGGTCTGGGGCGAATGAACCTCACAGCCCGTTCACCACCTGGCGCGGACAGTAACGCGCATCGCCTTTGTATCTGGCGTTCGTCTTCCCACCTCCAGCTCCCCCCGATCTGTCGGGGATCTGCTGACCCAGGTCAACCCTGACCCGGGTTAGTCAGGCCTTGCAAGACCCTGGTCCTGCGGGATCCTGCACCCACGCCCGGGTCAATGCACCCCTGGCGCTGCAGGATGCTGCAAGATCGGGCGCCCTGGCTGACCCTCGTTTGCTCTGACCCCCGTCTCTTGAGCCCCGAGTCTGAAAATATTGAAGGCCTGGAAATGGGCACTAACACCAACACAGGGGTTGTCTCCACAGGGGGGAGATAATCCTAGATTTCGGTGTTGGTGGTAATATTTCGGCCACCTTGGAAACCAGAATATTACCACCATCACTGAGATCGGGATCTTCTTCCCTCTGTGGAGGCACACCGCCAAAATTGGTGTTGGTGACAACCTCTAGGCCTGCGAAAATATTGGGATCGGTCCAGGCGAATCGAAACAGCTCGGCGGTGCAACATTCTGTCGGAGGCCCGTGGGGGAGTCCCGAGGCTCGTCGCCGTGCGCCCAGTGTCACGATGGGGAGGACGAAGGGGGGGGAGGAGCAGCGCAGTGCAGGTGCCCATGCGCGGCAGAGGTGGTGTAGCATCACGTCGACGTGCGGCAGCGGGGCCCGACGGCACATTTACATGCATAGCGTTGCATGAGGTGTTATCGTATGCACAGCATCACATACCACCGTATAGCATGGCACAACTGGAGAGAAGCTGGAGCCTAAACCATGAGGCATCGACCAGACTGGCAAGACACCCCAGACAACGTTCAGTCGCCAAGGCGCTTTAAAGACAAAAGCCCGATCATGTAGGGAAATCGGACTGTGGAACGCACACGATCATACTTACTAACCCGAGTTTACGATTTACATGGATTGAGACTTCACGTCCAATACGCATTATCTCAACCATATCAAACGTGGTCCTGCTACACATAAGAACGACCAGTGCGCCGCGTTGCCCCGAGCTCTTTGCAATGCCTCCTCGGTACGCTTCGAAACAACTTGGATGGACGGGCCACTTGTCATGAACAAGCGTTCTTGCGGGACTTTTCCAGGGTCAAACGATGAATGTGTTCACCTAGCAAGCCAGACCACTGGATTGCGCCGACACTGGCCAACACACGTCAAATTGACCATGTACGCGATCTGCCGGGGTGATGCGAGCCATAGCGGTCACACGAGCTGTGCACCCGTTCGACGTCTCCAGTCCCCGGCGCTTGTGTACTGCGCCTGCAAGCACCGTCTCAGCTTATGCAACCGCTATCGGTGTACTGCGATCATGACTCGGGATCGGTGGTCTTTCTGGGCCTGGCCCTGCTCGGATCTCCAGGCGCTGTAACCTACATGGTCCTGGAGCCTGGAACGTGTGTAGGCGTGCCATCGTCGACGCGCTCTTGTCAATGCGATCCGCCAACATCAAGGACATCGGCACCGTCGAAATGCTGAGCATCTGTTCTCCGTTCGCGAACGATATCTTGCCACGAGCAGGTCGAGAAACACCTGCCGCTTCTTCGAGGCGCTACGCGTCTTCTCAAAATGCCCCTGGGAAAAAGGGCGGCTGCCGCCAATGTGGTCCTTCGTCTGGCAGCGAGCGAGCGAGCGTGCCTTGCACCAGGCCGTGAAAGAACATGGCGAAAGAGAAGGCTGTCGCAGGATGCCGTCAGCAACCGCTCCAAGCCGCCACGGCCAACTCCCCATCGCACACTCCACCGCCCTCAGGGCGGACATCGCCGGCCAGGCGACCGTGGGAACGGCAAGTCTTCAGACAAATACGCAAGACGGCAAGAGGCCCCCATGCCTCTCTTGGACGGCCGCGCTTCCTTCGGCAGGCAGGTCTGCGGAGCTCCTTATCTGCAAGGGCGCCTAACTTCGCGCTCTCGCGCCACCCCCAGGAGAGAAGAGGAGGAGGAGGAAGAGGAGGAGGAGGAGGAGGAGGAGGAGGAGGAGGAGCCGAAGCGCGAAGCGCGGATAACTTCGCGTGCTCGAGAGTGCCCTTGTGTCTGCCACTCTTCTTAAAATGCTCTCAACGTGTTCAGGGCTGCTTGACGATGCGGTCGGGGAGGAGGAGAAGCACGAGGAGGCGGGACGAGGGGGAAGGAAGTCTACAGGGTAACACGAGCAACACAGATGGGCGATGACAGGGGGACGGAAGGTGGGAAAGGACGGATCAAACATGGGGGAGGAGTTTGAGAGGAGGGGGGTGAATGAGGGAGGAAGGGGGAGGGAAAGGCGAACAACGAGAGGGGGAGGAAGATGTAGGAGGAGCAGGAGCAATGGGGGAGGAGGATGAGGGAGAGGAGGAGGATAGTGATGAGGGCCATCAGCAGCAACAGGTGCATGAGGACCAGGAGTAGCATGGGAAGATAGGATGATGAAAGGGCAATCAGATGAGGGGTCAGTGAGACGTATTCCGCCATGCACCAGAATAACAATAAACTGCGCTCCTCCAAAAATCGGAAGACCGGTTGCCCGTGCCGTTGGCGGAGAAATCCGCCTGGGCCTGATGCCCAGAGCGCGTGAGCCACCTCTGCCTCCTCCGCCTCCTCCGCTTCCTCCTCCTCCTCCTCCTCCTCCTCCTCCTCCTCCTCCGCTTCCGCCTCCTCCTCCTCCTCTGCGTCCGTAGCCAATCTGGCTCAAGCCGTTCTGCGCTCAGGTGCTGAGCTTTGCGGACGCGGATCTTCAGAGCGGCCGCTTTCGTGGGCTCTCTTGGCGCGGCAGAGCCGGCTGCCCCTTGGACCCATCCGAGAGACGAGTGTGCTGGAAGACGCTGATCCTGGAGGGGCCAAGGGACACATAAATAAATGCACACAAATCCTAAGATTTCCCGTAGTTCCTCATATTTTCTGGATTTTCGTTTTTCCCCCCCACTTTCCATCTTTTCCCATAGTTTCCAGGGGATCCACGATTGATTGTGTCTGTGTGTTTGTTTTCCCATCCTGAGACCTGCGTTTGAAGTACTGCAGGGCTGCCTGACCTTGGCGGTCAAGCTTCTGCTTCTTATTTCCCCCACTTCCAGTGCCTCGAAGGGTGTTGGGTACGAGCATCTGCACCGTCGGCGCCCCTCGCCGCAGAAGGCCACGTGCGTGCCTTCGGTCTCAGACCTTCGGGTGCGTTGCCACGCGTTTGCAGAGTTGTCTCTTCGAGGCGGGTGTGAAACCCCCTCCTGGCAGATGTTCTGGGCTGGCAGTTGCAGCTTCGAGAGTTGTCCAACGTTGGCCACGAGTCCATCATCTGATCTTCTCCGCCGGCCTCCCTGTGCGGCCACCAGGGTGCGCGGATGAGGCTTCCTGTGGCCTGCGCTGCATCTAGTTTTCAATTCCTAATTCTATAATGCGATGCTACGATTCCTACTATGAAGTGTTGCTGTCCGCTCGGGAGAGAGACCGAAAACCACACTGTTACCTTCCCCGAATCGCGTTGCCTCAAATCCTGGTAGCATGGGACACGTGGCAAAACACGTGAGTCGCGCCCCCGAAGCAAACATTCCTCATAACTTACGCCAGATTCGCATCCCCGAGGCCAGAACCCTCAGTGGAATACACCGAGCAGATTACGCAGTAACCGGGAAGTTGAGGCCAGCGCCCTTAGCAACTTGCACCAGATTCGCGCTCGCGACAGCAGAATCTGGTTCGCCCTCCCGATACCAAAATCCATCATAAAATACACCTGGTTCACGCCCCCGAGGCGAAAACCCAGGGCAAATTAAGCAGGCTTCGCGCTCCTAGAAGCCAGAACCCTTCTTGTAAATTGCACCAGATTCGCGCTCACGAGGCCAGAATCCATCATACGGTCGGACCAAGCACGGAAAATAAACATCCGTCAAACACATGAAGCCCTCCGCCGGCCAAACAGAAGACTATTCGAGGGTACCCTCACCAAGATGCACAAGAACATTCGAGAAGCACGAAGAACACTAGGGTACCCTCTCTGGACCGACCTCGATCTTATATACCTCGGTCCGACCGTAAACTAGATTCGCGAACCTGAGGCCAGAATCCATTCCACTTACACCAGATTCGCGCTCCCGCAACCTCTCAGATGGCCCCAAGATGCTCCCAGGAGGCCCCCAAGAGAGCCCATCCCCAAGAAGGCCACGGGAGGGCCCCGACGAGAGTCCCAGGACGACCCCGCGCGGGTCTCAAGAAGACGCCGCAGGGGCTGCCAGAGTCCTCGCCCTCGCTCTCGTCCTCGTCGTCGTCGTCGTCCTCCTCCTCCTCGTCCTCTTCCTCTTCCTCCTCCTCGTCCTCCTCCTCGTTCTCGTCCTCCTCCTCGTCCTCCGGGGCGTCCTCCCCCTCGTCCTCGTCCTCGTCCACCTCCTCATCATCGGCCTGCTCAGCCTGCTCGCGAGCTTTCGTTTGACGGCTGCCTTCTGTCTGGGCATCGTTTCTGAATGGGCGTGGTGGGAATGCAGTCAACCCATATAGTAAGGATGCACGGTGCGGATGTAAGGGCCTTGGACGCCCATGCCGAGGCTCTTCGAGCGGGGCTGGCCATCGAAAGCGGTTGAGGATGGACCGAAGATGACCGAGGAGGCGGGGATGCAAGGGTACTCCTGAGAAGTCGACCATCCTTGCTATGCGGGCTGACTGCACGCGATGCGTGAGCAACTATCCGCCACCGTGTCCCCTGGCACGTTGAGGCGTGGTAGAGTGCCAAGTGCTATCTGGTAACATGTCTGTAGTCTTCTCAAACTCCGCTGCCTCTACTGGCAGACTTCCGCGTGCCCCCCCCCTCCTTCCCGAAGCTCTCTGGGCGGTCCGGCGCCTCCTTGGCGCTCTCCAAGGCGTCCACGACGGATCAGATCGCTTCCAAGACGGCCCAGGCAAGCCACCAGGGGCACCAAGATGGCTCAACAAGCCTTCAAAACGCAACACGCCTTCAAGACGGCCTTCGATAAGCCCAAGATGGCCTTGAGACTGCCCAAGACGCATTCAAGACGGTCAAGAGAGCGCCAGAACAAAACAACAAGAAACTCCAGCACGGCCGGAAACAACGAACTATTTGTTCCGTCTGATATTTCTGCAGATTATCCTATCCTCGCCTTTTCGGGACCCCGTCGGCTCACAGCGGCTCAGTGGCCTTCGAGATGGCCCCACGACGGCACCAGAGGGCCTCAACGTGGCCCAAGAGTAGAGGCCTTCAAGACGGACTCAAAATAGCCCGACGGGGCCCCTGGACAGCCCAGGACGGACTCAGAGCCTCGAGCTGGCCCAAGCAGCCCTCAAGATATACAGTCGGGGAGATGACCTAAGGAACCCTAAATAAGGAACGAGGCCCCTTTTTTCCATAAGTTTACCTTCGATGTCCTGTCGAAAACATAAGGAAAGCCTGAGGCAAGCTGTGAAACACTGAAGGAACGCGGAGCCCCTCCCCAACGAAAAGGGTTCCTTCTTCAGGGCCCCGACTGTACTCAAGACGGAGTAAGAGGACCCCTGGACGCTGGTAATTCGTAATTCGCCGCGCGGTCCCCGCGAGCCGGCCCGCTTGGTGCGCGCGTGCTAGCAGCAAAGGCGGGGATGGAGGAGCGGAAAAGAAGAACCCCTGGACGGCCCAAGACATCTCCACGACGGCCCCGGGAGACCTCTCAGACGGCCACACAAAGGCGCCAAGAGAGCCCCAGGATGGCCCAAGAGGGCCCCAAGGACGCCCAACGGACTGCCCCGAAGAAGCCCAGGCCAGCCCAGGATCGCCTAAATGATGCCGACGAGGGCTCCTCGAGACAAAGCAACGAAATGAATCACGTGTGACGGCTCTCCTCCTTTTCATCCTCATTATCACCATCATCCATCATCAACAACATTATCTTCCTCGTCCTCCTCGTCGTGAGCACGATCATCATGTGATGCGTCCCTCTCGTCGGCCATACTCCTCCTCCTCCATTCCTCATCCTCTCATCCTCCTGGTTAATCCTCATCTTCTGATCATCATCCTCATCATCATCATCACCATCATCATCATCATCATCATCAGCATCATCATCATCACCATCATCGTCATCGTCATCGTCATCAGCATCGTCATCGTCATCAGCATATTGTCAGCATCATCATCAGCATCATCATCATCATCATCATCATCGTCAGTACCATCATGATCATCATCACCACCGCCATGATCATCCCATTCCTGTCCTCATCATAATCAACATCCTCATCATCTTCAGCAGCATCACCACCCTTATCATCATCAGCATCATCATCGTATGCGTCATCAGCATCATCAGCATCGTCATCGTCATAATCCTCTACATCAACAACATCATCACCACCATCACTACCATCAGCACCATCACAGTCACCATCACCATCATCATCATCATCACCATCACCATCATCATCATCATCATCATCATCAGCATAATCATCAACATCATCATCACCGTCACCGTCACCAACACCATCACCATCACCATCACCATCACCATCATCATCATCATCATCATCATCATCATCATCATTATCATCATCATCATCATCATCATCATCGTCATCGTCATCGTCATCGTCATCGTCATCGTCATCGTCATTGTCATCGTCATCGTTGTCGTCATCGTCGTCGTCGCCGCCGCCGCCACCGTTCTCATCGATTCGAGCAGCTGCCGCCGAACATGCTGAGCTGGCACAGTTGCGCGACTTGCCGCAGCCAGCTAGGTACACGTTCAGCGTTGAAATGATTAAAGTGCGCGCGAGGGGAGCCCAGAAAGCGCCCCTTTCCCCTTCACGACTCGCCTTGCCTGCCTTTCATGGGGCCTTGGGACAAGTAAACATACAGCAGATTCGCGCTCTCGGGGCCGCACCCCCTCGTAGATTACGTCGCGCTCGTGCCTCCGAGGCCAATACATTCAACATACTTGCACTCCCGAGGACCCCCCCTCAAATTATGACGCCACGTTCACGCTCCCAGGGCCAGTCCCTCTGAAACTGCGACGCACTCGCGCTCCCCCCACCACAATCTTATGTACATTACAATCGTTTCGCGCTCCCGAGGCCCCATGTATCGCAGAGGCCACGCCAGGTAACCACAATCACAGCATTCATGGGATGAGCGGCCAACCTTTTCTGGATGAACGAGCGGCCATTGGCGTCAACATGGCGGGAAGACCGTATACGATGCGAGGAGCTGTGCAAGTCTCACGGAGCAAGAATTCATGGCGACGTTCACGTACGTGGCATCCGTTGCCTGGCTGCGTGGCCATTGTTACGATAAAGGTGGGTAGACTGGCTGAACGGTGCAACTCCGCTCGCATGTTTCGCATGACTCGCAAACATAACGACTAATGTACTGCCTGGCTACATCATATAGCGGAACTACCCCGAAAGCCCCGTGTTGCCCCCAAATCAACAAGACCGAGCAAACACTCCATAACTTTCCTCCATCAATCCGCCAACCTACCGCCCGCTGCCCTCCAGAACCCGCTAGCGACCCGGGCGCGGCGGAACGCGGGTCGCAAGGAATTCTTCATGTACTCGGCCCATGCGTCGCCACCGTAGCCGCCGTAGCCGCCGTAGCCGCCGTAGCCTCCGTAGCCGCCGTAGCCGCCTTCTGGGGAAATGATAGTAGCCTCCCATACTATCTTGTTGGTCCTTGCGACCTGACGCCAACTGACGCCAACCGACGCTCCTCAGCGCTAGCAGACGCCGAATCGACGCCAAGTGACGCTACGCCGGCCCTCTCTCATCGATTACCAGACGCTGTTCGACGCTGATGCGCTCCCAATGCGGAACTACAAGGGTATACAAAGAAGAACAAAAACGCCATAAACATTAACTTTTGGCGCTCCGCGCGGAGCGTCGAAAATTTATGGTCGTGACGTTTCTTGTCTTCGACCCCACGCGGAACGACGAGGGCGTGCAAGGCTCCCATGTCGGCGGTGGACAAACCTCCCTGTAGTAAACCTCCCTTTGGTGAAAAAACGGCCTGAGACCGAGACCGACGGACCCTGGACCCGCAAAAACGACGGCCGCGACGCCCTCCCGCGAACCGAAAACGGCCACTTCCTGAATCGACGTGTCATACGAGACCTATGTTGCATCACAGCAGCAATTCGGCCTCTGACTTTCGTCCTGGGTTCGGTTTAGTGAAGTGATGAATTTCGGGGTCCTTACGTTGGAAAAAAAACATCACTTCACTAATCTGGGGCCCCTGGGGCCTCCATGGGCCCTGGGGCCCAAGATTGGTGACGTGATGGTTTTCGGGCCTCGGATGTCAGGGTAGGAGGCCTGTCCACCCCCGACCACGGCTTGCTGCCGCAGCCGCCGTAGTCGCCGTACCTGCTGTAGTTGCCGTAGCCGCTGTAGTTGGAGGGCTCCGCGATCCGTGTGAGGCGCTGGGCCTCGGACCTCACCCGCCCGGCGGCACGCGGCGGGGCGCGGCGGCGACGACGACGACGACGACGACGAGGACGAGGACGAGGACGAGGACGAGGACGAGGACGACGACGACGACGACGACGACGAGGACGACGGTGGCGGCGGCGACGACGACGAGGACGACGGTAGCGGCGGCGGCGACGACCACGACAACGACGACGACGACGACGAGGGCGGCGGCGACGACGACGACGACGACGAGGGCGGCGGCGATGACGACGACGACAGCGGCGGCGGCGGCGGACGGTCGGCAGGAGGCGGCAGCACGGCAGGAGAACCGGCCGCTGCAGGAGCAGGACGGGAAGAGTGAGCACGAGGAGCAGAAGGGCAAGAGGAGAGCTTCCCACTTGGCCCCACGTCCTCGGGCCTCCCTGCCTGGACCGCGCTCCAGGCTCCGGCTTCGGGGCAAAGATGTGGGCCAGGGCAGTGGCAGAGCCCGAGGGGGGACCTTCCATGTGACCCCATGCCCTCGGGCTTCCCTGTCTAGACCCGCCGTCGGGCTTCCCTGTCCAGACCTGCTCTCGCGGCTGATCCTTCAACTTCCAGCTGGCAGGGTCCCACTGTGCGCCCGAGCACCTGCGGCCCAAGAAGCTTCAATATCAGGGCGGTTAAAAGTCCACGCGGAAAATTCGGTAAGCCAAATAGCAACCGCCGCGCCTGCAGGCCAGTGCTACGCGTAGTTTGCCCCCCCCCCTCCCCACCCCATTGGGACGCCTCTCGGAGGCCTGTTTGGGCCCTCTCGGGGGTCTCTTGGGGGCCTCTTGGGGACATCCGTGTGCCTCTCGAGGGGCTATTGAAGCCTGTCGGGGGTCTCTTTGGGGCGTCCTGGCGATCTCCGAGGCCACCTTGGAAGTGGGAGGCTCGAAATGTCAGCTCGAGTTCCCCCTCTCGGGCCCCTCTTTGGGGCTTTTGGGGGCCTCTACGGGCCCTGGGGCCGCTCTCGGGCCGCTCTTGGGCCGTCTTGGGGCCGTCTTGGGGCCGGGGCCTGGCGCACCATCGCGGAACGCGAGCGCCCAGGGGGGAGGGCCCAGCGGCGCTGGAGGCAGCAACGTAGCGGCAACGGTGCCCAGGGAACCGAGGCCGGGAGACCCGCGGGGCGCCCAGAACCCAGACATCCGACGTCTCGATTTTTTCGAGACACGGGCCCCCGACCTCCCGACCACTTCCCCGGGACCGGTTCTTCACCCCGAGTCGTTTTTTGACGGTCCCGAGGCCCGGCGAGGGCCCCGAGAGGCCGAAAACGACGAAAAACCTCCGTCTCGATTTTTTCGAGACGCCCGATGTCTGGGAGGCAAGGGCCAGAGGGCAGCCTCCCCGAGGAGGGAGCGGAGGGGAGCCTGGCGGGCGTGCAGAGAGGGCGCGCGGCACACGGGAGTCGGCCCGCGCCGGAAGGAGGCGCGTGGCCAGGAGCCGAGGAGGCCGAGGTCGCCCCGACCCCCCCCGCCCCTCTCCTCCTCCTCCTCCTCCTCCTCCTCCTCCTCCTCCTCCTCCTCCTCCTCTTTTTCTTATTCTTCTTATTATTATTCTTATCATTATTATTATTATTATTAATATTATTATTATTATGATTATTCTTATTATTATTCTTATTATTATTATTTGCATTCTTATTATTATTCTTATTAGTATTCGTCTTATTGTTATTAGGTTTCTTATTCTTCGTATTATTAGTATTATTATTATTAGTCTTATTCTTATTAATATTATTATTATTGTCATTATTATTATTCGTCGTCTTATTATTATTCTTGTTCGTCTTATTATTCACTTTTCTTATTCTTATTATTCTTCTTCTTATTATTATTATTATTCCTCTTCCTCTTCTTCTTATTATTCTTATTCTTATTTTTCCTCTTCCTCTTCCTCTTCCTCTTCCTCCTCTTCCTCCTCCTCCTCCTCCTCCTCCTCCTCCTCCTCCTCTTCCTCTTCTTCCTCCTCCTCCTCCTCCTCCGCCTCCGCCTCCGCCTCCGCCTCCGCCTCCGCCTCCGCCTCCGCCTCCGCCTCCGCCTCCGCCTCCGCCTCCGCCTCCGCCTCCGCCTCCGCCTCCGCCTCCGCCTCCGCCTCCGCCTCCGCCTCCGCCTCCTCCGCCTCCTCTCCTCCTCCTCCTCCTTCCCCCTCCTCCCTCTCCCCCCCCCGTTCCCGCTGACTGCAGGTAGCTCAACCGGCGCTTCGCCTCGTTCGTGGAGAACGCCGGCTCCTCTTGCAGTGCAGGGCGGGCGCGGTGCAGCGCGAGCCCTCCGGAGAGAAATCTCTTCCCTGTCTGGCCTTCTGGAGTGATGAAGGCGGGCGGATCGGGAGGATACAATCGGGGCGTTGACCTAAGGAACCCTAAATAAGGAACGAGGCCCCTGTTTTCCATAAGTTGAACTTCGATTCCCCTATCGAAAACCTAAGGAAAATCCAACGCAAGCTGCGAAACAATTAAGGAACACGGAGCCCCTCCCCAACGAGAAGGGCTCCTTCTTCAGGGCCCCGACTGTAGACGGAACAAAGGGGGACATGGGATGGGAGAGGTGGAAGGAGGGCACACAGGGAGGCACTTCCCCAAGAGGCGCCCCCCAAGAGGCCCAACAGAGGCCCAACAGAGGCCCCCCAAACAGCCCCCAAGAGGCTTCGAAACTGCCTCCGAGAGGCCCCCGCCCCCGAGAGGCATCCCACGAGATTCCACCGAACATCCAGCAAGTTTCGTACACAAAGCCCAGGCTCGGTGCCGGGATGGGCCGAAGGTCATTTGACACTTCGCGGCCTCTTGAAAACTTGTTGGGCATCACGAGCCCGAGCTGGTGCACATCGCTCTGCCTGACGTGGGAAGGAGGGGACAGCAGAAACGGGAGGAGAGGTGGAGAGGGTGATGAGCGCGCAGAGGGAAGTACGACCACCTACCAGACCACCCCAACCTGACCCGAAGACCCAAGTTTCGGGTTTGGGGGGGGGGGGCGGGTTCCACGCGTGTTTTTGTTCGATGCTCCCCGACTGGAAGTCGAGGGTCCATTTGGGCCTTCGGGTTGGGCTGGGGTGGTTTGGTGGTGCAAGAAGGGAGGGCGGGGAGAAGCAACGAGATGAGGCGGTGGCAGATGCGGAGTGGGCAAGGCGGAGGCCGAACAGAGAGGGCGTGCCTCTTCGCCTTGCTCCGGGCGCCTTCCCTCCCCCCGCGCGCCTCTCGCTCCTCCCCCTCTTGCGGGGGGGGGGGCCAGAGGTGCCCCGGGCTCAGGGCGTCCCCAGCCTCCCCCGCTGCTCTGAGGCCCCCGGGGCGCCCCCCCGGGCCTCGTGCTGGGGTGCTCCTGGGTCCGTGCGGAGGGGGGGCCGCTCTGGAGATCCTGGGGCCGCCGCGGGCCAAGGACCTCTTCGGCGGCGCCTGGCTCTCCTCCTCCTCCTCCTGCTGCCTCCCCCCCGTGCTCCCGCCCTGCCCTTCCTCCTGCACCCCTCGTGCGCCCTCCCTCCACTTCGCCGGCCCGACGTCGGGATCCACCAAAGAGAAAGTGACCCTGAGGGGGTGAAGGGGCCCTGGGACACACAAATAAATACACACAAATGACAGGATTCCCAATCTTTTCCCATATTTTCTGGATTTTTGTCTTCCCCCCCACTTCCCATATTTTCCCATATTTTCCTGGGGGCGACGATTAATTGTGTCTGTGTTTTTTTCCCTTCCTGAGGAGGGCACGACTTCGATCTGTTGGTGCACCGAACTGCCGCAAACAGATGCCTCCTGCATCCCCACCTGTCGGCAACTATCGGGAGCTGCCGGCGGCTGAGGGGCATCTGTTTTGGGCGGTTCGAAGCAACAAACCGACCGAATCCACTCTCTCTCTCTCTTTTCTCTCTCTCTCTCACACACACACCGGGGCGCACACGCACCCTTTGCGGGATCCCGACAATGGCCCAAAGGTGAGCTGGAGCCTTCGGCACGGGTTCGGCGTTTGAACATTGCCAATTCGCGCGCGCGAGAGAGAGGATCCATGTCCCTTGGTTGCAAGCTTCAGCATGCTCCCAGCACAGCTCCAGTATAGCCCCGAGGTGGCCCAAGATGGTCACAGTCCCCCAGAGGCTCCCCCGAGGCCCTAGCCTTTCAAAAGCCAATGGATTTCCTATGATTCCACCTGTCTCCAAGCCGCAAGATGGCTCTGCAATCACCCAAGATGGCCCAAAGTGGGGGAATAGGACGGGCTTCAAGGGGGCTCCGAAGACTCACAAGAGCGCCCATGAAGAGGCCTAAGATAGCTCCAAGAGCCCAACAGCCGCCCAGAAGCGGGGATCAATGGGTGAAAGGCCCCAAGATGGCCCCGAGATAGCTCCAACGAGGCCCCCTCGGGAAGCCCGAACCCTCCAAAAGCCAAGCGATGTCCAACGAGCTCGGCGTTCTCGCCTTTCTGCTTCCCACGGGGCTTCTCAAGCCTCAAGGTGGCTCGATGGCCCGGAGTGGGGGCAAGAGGGCTTCAAAGGGGCTCCGAAAACTCACGACCGCGAAATGTTGCTCCCATCGTGCTTAAAGACCACATCCCAGAAACCATTTCGAGCACCTGGAAAAGTGTCGAAGCAATGTCGGACGAGCGTCTCCCGGGGCCCGACACGTGAAAACCCTCGAGTTTGCATACTTTTCTGGCGCTCGAAATTCTTTCTGGCGATCAAGGCTAGAGTAGATTTAGGTCGGGCATGTCCCCCTACAGGCCGACTTTGGACGATAATTAAAAAACACTCAAACATATCCAACGAATATTCCAACATACAAAGACTCGTCCCCATGCACTTGTTTAGCTATTTCTAAATAAATACAACACGTCGTCCCCAGGCATTTTTGATTTGGCAATTTCCGAATATTCCTCCTGTACACCCTGCGAAATGCTTAAGAAATCATGGGTTAAGACATTCATAGTCTCAGAACTTGAATAAAAACCCAATGGTTCTATTAGAATCCTAAGATTTACATTGAAACGTTGAGAATAATCGAGACTCTGGCCGAAAACCTAAATTTTCTTAAGCATCGCCTAATGTGCAGAGGGCCACGCCCGACTTCACATCATAGCGACAGCGCCCCAGAGGAGGCCCACGAGAGAGCTCCAGGAGCTAAGCCCGCGAGCGGCCCGGGGAGCGGGGAGTCAGTTGCTGCGGCAGGCCCCGAGGTTCAGTCCTCGGCCTGGCCTAAGGAACGAAGAATGCAGGAGGAGGAGGAGGAGGAGGAGATGGGGAACGAAGTTCCTCTTTTCGGCGGTGGAAAAAAAACCTCCCTTTAGTAAACCACCCTTTAGCGAAAACGCCCTAAGACCTAAACCGACGGACCTGGACCCGCAACAATGACGCACGCGACGCCCTCTCGCGAACCGAAAACGGCCAATTCACTAATCGACGTGTCAGGGTAGGAGGTCTATCCACCTCAGCTTTTCCCAAGGAGTAACGCATCAGGAACGATGACAAATACATAACGCATCAGAAACGATACACAACGCATGCAGGCCCAAGGAACGACCGAGCCCCTTTCGAAAAGTAAGTGTTCCACAGTCCAGCCGCTCACTGTACGGTCCCAGGATCGCCCCAAGAGGTCCCCGAAAGATAGCCTCCAAGAGACTCCCTTCAGGCCCATATCTAAACAACACATGTTGTTTTATGATGCTAGTTTACTCTCGCTGTTGCTTCCCATGTGTCTCATGCCTCAAGATGGCTCCAACGGCGCCGAAGATGGTTGCAAATTTGGGCTGGAAGCTCTTCAAGAAGGCTCCGAAGACTCGCAAGATGCTCCAGAGAGCTTCCACAATGCCCCAAACCGGCACAATAATGATGGTCTGGATAGCCACACATTGGCTCAGGATGGTCCAAGACAGCCCTCAATGGGCATCCAGGAGGCTGAAACTCTTTGAACAACTAAGCTTTTTCGGTGATTCGGGATTGCTACCTAGTTGGTTTCCCATGAGCTTCTGAGGCATCAAGATGGCTCCAGCATTGCGCAAGATAGCTCCAAGCGGAGAGAGCTGGAAACGAGAGCCAATGACTCCAGGAGCGCCCCACCAGATCTCCGATAAAGGGGCCCAACACTACGCAAGCACGCCTCAAAGCAAAGAACATTGGGTATCACAACCCAACATGGCCCCCGAACCCCAACGAGGTCCAAAATGAACCGCTACACAACCCAACAGGCCCCCAGGAGCCCCCAGAAGACTCTGAGGCCTCCCCAGTGAGCCCCTGGATGCATCCCAGAGACGTCCATGATCCCCCCCAACGCCCCCGCCTGTCCATACATGGTTACCCCATGCCTCCTCGATAGACATGAACGCTCCTTTCTGCATGACATTGTGTGATCGCTCATGGTATTATACACTCTCACCTCGTGGCTCCTATCACTTCACCGAACGACAACAATGATGCAATCTGGGCCGGCGGAATGATCGAAACGATTGGTAATGGCTAATCGCCCTGCCCTCCTCCATCTGCATGTGAATGAATACATGTGCGAACGTGCGTGTGTAGGTATTGAAGCTCAACGCGCTATTATCCTCCCGAGTCCTGTGCAGGACGGGCTCTGTAGCCGTGCGGGATCTGTCTGTCTATCTGCCCTCCTCCTGAACAGCGAAGGGAAAATAAGAGAAACGGGTATTTACGCGAGATGACGTAGCGAAGGGGAGGAGCGGAAAGAGGGGGGGGGCGGGAGACGGGAGGGGGTACAGCCTCCTGTTCCTCTTCCTCCTCCTCCTCCGCTTCCTGTTTTCTGTTGCATCATCTGGGCTGTCTTTGGCCGCAAGACCGACGTGCCTGCGCGCAGACGCGACGAGGGAACTGGCGGTCCTCGGGAGAGGACGCCTCGCTTCCCTCTCAAAGCGCACGCACTCAAAACAAGCGTGAAGCTGAGGTGTCTGTCCCCCCCCGAGGGGCGCTCAATCGAAATTATGGTCCTGCCCTCCTCCTCCTCCCTCCTCCTCCTGCCTCCTGCTGTCTCCTCTCCTCCTCCTCCTCCTCCTCCTCCTCCTCCTCCTCACTCCTCCTCCTCCTCCTCCTCCTCCTCCTCCTCCTCGTCCTCCTCCTCCCCCTCCTCCTCCTCCTCGTCCTCCTCCTCCTTTTTCTCCCCCTCCTCCTCCTCCTTCTTCTCTTCATCCTCCTCCCTCGTCTTCCTCCTCCACCTTCCTCTTCCTCCCTTCTGCATCCTATCTTCGATCGTGGGTTTGCCCCCCTCCCCCTCCTCCGACCTCCTGAGCACGCGGCCCGCGATCCTCCGTGAGCGCCTGCCGAGCCTGCTGCTCGGAGACGTTGGCATACCTGAGCTCCGCCCCACGCGTCCATCGAGGAGGACTGGGAGAACTGAGCGATGAGAAATATTGGCGGCGAGCGGGGGGGGAAGCGAGAAGGAGAAGGCCTTCTCTGAAGGCGGCGGGACTTCTCAGATGCCCTCGCGCACTCTGAGAAGCTGTGAAAACCTCTCAGAAGGCCGGGTGACTTCCGGACCTTCTGAGAAGGCTTTCTCCTTCTCACTTCCCCCCTCGCTCGCCGCCGGTAATAGAAATTAATCAAACAAACTCCCAAACATCCCCAAGAGAGCAAAAACAGTGCATGCTTTCCCTTAAGCTTTCAAATGTTCGTCGCCGTCGCCGTCGACGTCGCCGTCGCCATCGCCGCCGCCGCGGTCGTCGTTGTCGTCGTCGTCGTCGTCGTCGTCCCCCTTCGGGGTCGGCGGCATCGGACGTAAGGTCTTCGCAGTAGGAGCAAGGAACGATGGCCAATACGCGCGGGGAGTTCGAACGAGTTGCTCGCCTCATACTGACTACCTACCAGACCACCCCAACCCAACCCGAAGACCCGAATTTCGGGTTGGGGGGGGTAAGGGTTCCACATGTGTTTTTTCGATGTTTCCCGACCCCCCCCCCACTGGAAATCGAGGGTAAATCAGAGCCTTCGGGTTGGGTTGGTGTGGTTTGGTGGGTGGTGACATACCGAAACTGGCCACGAGCAGTGCGAAACTCGTCCAACGGGGAGCGGGTCGACCTTGGCAGAGCTGTGGCCACCCCCGCCGGCAGGACCGGCACCGCCCCCGGGCGAAGGGCGAACCCCCGAGGCGCTGCGCGGGCGTGCGATGGGTACCATGTCACTGGCCAGCGCTAGGTGCCTCTGCGCGTGGGGATATGCCCTGTGAGTTACACGCTACAGTCGAGGCGTTGACCTACGGAGCCCTAAATAAGGAGCGAGGCCCCCATTTTCCACAAGTTGAACTTCGATGTCGTATCGAAAACCTAAGGAAAATCCAAGGCAAGCTGCGAAACAATTAAGGAACACGGAGCCCCTCCCCAACGAAAAGGGTTCCTTCTTCAGGGCCCCGACTGTACCATCTCACTAACCAGCGCTATGTGCCTCTGCGCGTGGGGAGATGCCCTGTAAGTTACACGCTGCATGGATGTGCGGGATGGTTTCGTCTTCTTCGCCCACCTCCTACTCCTCAATCAACGACTTCCCCTGCAGTCAAGGGCACCACTCGCGGAACAGCTCGGTGGCGTTCTCAACTGCCTCGAGCTTGGACTTCTGGGGCGCCCGCACAATGAGCAGATGACAGAGCAGGAGGATGTAGAGGAGCAACAGCAAGAAGAAAGGATGAGGCGAAAGCGGAGGCCGAAGCGGTTGCGGAGGAGGCGAAGCAGCACGAGCTGGAGCAGCATGAGGACGAAGAGGACGAGGAGAAGGATGATGAGGGGATGGGGAGGAAGGAGAAGGAATGAGGCAGCGTGCTGCTTCATGTGCAGTGCTGGAGCAGATTATCTAGTAATTAACAGCAGACCTGATCCAATCCACAAAAGTCGTACCCATAGCCATGTCGCGGGGGTGCGCTACGATCGGCTATAGTATGCGCGAGAGCACCAAGCTGTGTGGAAGGGGTCCCAGCGACCCCCCCCCACGCACGATCGCTGCCATTACTCGAGGGGGAGAGGGGAGGATGGGGGGGTCTGGCCCAGGTAACGACCGTTGCGCGCCAGAGGCGAACAAAAAATCCCCCGGAGCCACGACCCTCCGCAAAAGTTCGGTGGCAACCCATGGGAGCCTCAAATACCATCTTGTCGGCTCTTGCGGATCGACGCTAGTCGACGCTAAATCGTTGGCATCTCATCGACGCCCAGACACTCATCGACGCTGAAGGGGAAATTACGAGGGTATACCAGGCTCCTATGATTTGCTACCGAACAAAAGAATCGGGGATGGACAGACCTCCCTTTAGTAAAACGTGGTTTAGTGAAAACGACCTGAGACCCACACCTGGCGGGCGCAAGCCTGGAAAATAACGGCCGCGGCGCCCTCTCGAGAACCGAAAACGGACAATTCACTAATCGACGTGTCACTATTGGGGGTTCTGTCCGCCCCCGAAAGAAGCGGGGCTCGCAACTGGGCTGCGGTGCGAGATCGGACGCTGCTGCCTCCGCATCGGAGGAGCGATGGCGATGCGTTACGCCGCCGGAGACCTGGGCCGAAGCCGCCGCTCCGGCAACGACTCTTAGGTCGGGGACGTCCTCCTACAGGCGGACTTGGCAGTAAAAACTTAAAGAAGTCGGCAAACCAAAATGATCAAGAGTAAATATCAGAGCACGACAAGTCGTCACCAGACTATTTTGCGCTACTCTGGAAAATTCCACCCGTAGAGGGCCATGCTCGACTTAAGGGTAGGCAAGCGGGCAGTCCGATGGGGTTACCGCTCGGCCCAGAATCGGGCGCGACTGCGTTGAACCTCAAGCATCACTGTTAGAACCCGAGAGATCAATGCACGACGTCTTTGTCGTGCTCGGGGAAGTCATAGTTCATATTCGCTTCATACCAGGTCGGTTTTGAATTAAGCATCAGTGAGCAATCACCCCAACTTATCATCTTACCACGGGTCGTCCACGCAATGGTCCAGCTTCAAGAGATGTCGCAGGTGGTGCCACCACGATGCTCTTGCAGGCCAGCTATCTGGCACCGTGCCGACTCGATGAGCCAGCCTGTCTTGCCGTCGTAACAGATCGACCCCCGAATCTTCTATGTGGCTCTGTAGTTAGAGCAGCACTGCCTTGACCACGCCGGCGGAGAGGGGCGCCATGGGGCGCCCGCGGGGAGCTGACAATCGCCCCGGAGACGGCAGCAAGTCGCGAGGAGAGGGTGGATGGCGAAGGAACAGACCTGGCGGGCTGGGCTATCTCGGTGCTGCTCATCGTCGGAGCCCTGACGTACAGGACCTGCCGCGCGAGCAGGGCGAGGGAGCCCGTCGTACAGAGGATCATCTGGAGTCCTCAGGGACAGCTGGGCCCAGACGAGCCACCTCGGCTGCGACCTGGTGCGCTGCCCAGAGAAGCTCTTCAAGTCGAGGCACGGCGAGAAGCTCCACTGCGGCACGGTCGTCCACAACCGCTGGGGCCAGCGACACACTCTCCAGGACCAGCGCTTCGCCCCGGGTCGGAGGAGGAGGAAGAAGAGATGAGGAGGATGAAAGAAGGAGGAGGAGGAGGAGGAGGAGGAGGAGGAAGAGGAGGAGGCTGCAGGAGCCGGAGGTCTGCAAGCACGGTATGGAGGAGACCCGTGCCGCTGGCGCCCCTGGCGCCAGGCGTGCGCCCGCGGGAGCGCGAGGCCGCCGGCACGCCAGCAGAGACGCCGGGCACGCCAAGCGTGCAGCGCTCGAGGAGCCGGCCCCCCGGGGCCAGAGCCGAGGAACAACAAGCTGCACACGCAAACGTTTGCGTCGGCGGCCAGGCAGGGGGCGTCTGCGCTGGCGATGGGATGCCTACACACGAGACCTATGTTGCTTCACAGCAGCAATTCGGCCCCTGACTTTCGTCCTGGGTTCGGTTTAGTGAAGTGATGAATCTCGGGGTCCTCGCGTGGGAACAAACATCACTTCACCAATGTGGGGCCCCTGGGGCCTCAGTGGGCCCTGGGGCCCAAAATTAGTGACGTGATGGCTTTCGGGCCTCGAACTACACGGGGATGCCGTTGGAGCGAACTGAGCCACCACGCGAGGGGAGGGGCGGAGGGAGGGCGCGGCCGAGAGATGGGGCGGAGGGAGCGAGCGGCCGAGGGAGGCGGGCCGCTCAAAAGCTGCACTCGGCGGTGGACAAACCTCCCTTGCGTAAACCTCCCAGGAGGAGGAGGAGGAGGAGGAGGAGGAGGAGGAGGAGGAGGAGGAGGAAGAGGAGGAGGAAGAGGAGAGGAGGAAGAGGAGGAGGAGGATGAGATGGGGAACGAGGTCCCTTTTTTCGGCGGTGGACAAACCTCCCTTGAAAAAAAAAACCTCCCCTTCATGAAAACGGCCTGGGACCGAAACCGACGGACCTGGACCCGCATAGGTGACGGCCGCGGCGCCCTCTCGCGAGCCGAAAGCGGCAGATTCCTGGATCGACGCGTCGGTGTGGGAGGCCTGTCCACCCCCGATGCACGAGCATCGACTCTTGGAGGGCGGCGCCGGCCTCTTGGAGCCGCGCGGGGCCCCCTCCCCGGCGCGCGGAGCGCGCGCCGGGGGCCCAGGGGCAGCGACAGAGGCGCCGCCAGGGGGGCCAGCGCCGATCCAGAACATCCGCGCGGCCCTCTGACGGTTTTGAAGGGGCCCTGGGACACAACAGATAAGTACACACAGATAACGGGACTCCGCCACACTTTCCCATCTTTTCTGGGTGTTCGTCTTCCCCCCCCACTTCCCACATTTTCCCGTGTATTTTCTTGGGGGGATCGACGATGAATTGTGTCTGTTTTTTTGTTTCCCTCCTAAAGTTTATGCTCATGCAGGCCGGTGTTCCCCGAACGAGGGCAGGCTCAGGCCAGGGGTCCCCTGGTCCCTGGGGGAGCCTTCGTGGGAGCCCTTTGTGAGCCTCCGCGACCCGGATCTCGACCAGCCTTAGGTCGGGCCTGTCCCCCTTCAGGGGGATGTTGGACGAAAAATAGAAAATACTCCAAACATACTCCGACATGGTGAAAAATACGCAAAAAAAAGTCCCCACACTATCTTTAAACTATTTCTGAATATTCCCCCTGCAGAGAGGGACAGGCCCGACTTAACCCTAATCTCTGGGGGAGCCTTCATGGGAGCCTCGGTGAGACTCCCCGGCCCAGCTCTCGACCAGCCCTCTCCACCTTTTCGTCCAGATGTCGTCTAAACGTCGACCAAATCCGACGAAGCCTGGACGAGATCCCCCAAACCGCAAGGCAATTTGGGGAAACAACACATACACTGTGGGAAAAGCACACACACTTTTGTGTGTGTGTGTTTTCCCACAAACTTGTGTGTGCGTGTGTTTGTGTGTGTTTTTCCCACGGTG